GGTGCCAGATGACACCCAGCCGGTTGGGATCTGCAGCATCAGGCAAGCAGGGTCAGGGTCTAGTTCCCAGCCCTACCTGGCTTTGCACAGCTCAGCCTGTCCATAGCAAAACTTTTAAGTGGTGGCTGGGGAATCCAGGGTCAAAATCAGAAATGTTTTTTACATTTCCAGCTATCTGTATACCTACTGTGATTGATGATTAGTTTTTTCTTGAATAGGATCTTACACAGGTGTAGTGTGGAGGATACAGAATTTTTCCACATGCAACCAATGCCACATGTTCAGACTAATGATGCTGTGAGTAATGTTATGGATATTTGTTTGTTTTTTTTAAAGTAGATTTCCATATGCTTATTTATCCTGTCAAAAGTTGGAGAACAGACAGTCCTGAAAAAGAAGTTATTCAAATGTTATAATGCTGTCCTCATGTTTGGAAAAAACCCTCATCAACGTGTTCATCTTGAAGAATGCTGAATCTCTTCTTCAGATCTTCCCACATACACTTTCCAGAAAATGTAGTTGACTTTAGAACATTTTATTCAGTGATGATGCTGTTCACAGTCACAACAATCTCAAAAGCAAAAGCACTTCTGAGTTAGGCAATTTGTTACCTGTTTATTCTGATGACACCATGAACTCTGGTATTTTTTTAACTTGTTTGAAGACTGAACAATATAAATAATCTTTTAATGCTTGTGATATCAGAGAATAACTGAGTTTTCCTCTTTTTCAGACTTGCTGGTACAGAATAGATATTGTGCATCACACTGCAGCAGTGTGCACACTGAGAAATAAGCGGATAGAATTGTATTCATGCAGCAATTTTGCATAAGGACATTCTAAAATAGTCTGCTTACAAATCAGTGCATGACTGGTGATAAAGAGAGACCTTTTCTCTTTTTAAGGGTTAAAATGCCTGCTGTAAAGCCCATCTCCTAGAAGACGGAATCCTTCTCCCGTTGAACAGTTTGCTCTGCAAGCGTTATTTTTTTCTGGGGGAATTTGTTCGCTACAAACTGTTGTAAACAATCAATCAATCACACTTCCTTGAGTTAGAGCTGGGAGATCACCAACGTTCCCAGTGAAGAGCATGGTCATGTCAAACAGCTACATGGATTTTTTCCAGTTGTCTTGGAAAAAACATCAAAATAGCACAGTCCCACATGGTGTGCGAGGCATTATAGTTCAACTGATACGGAAGGGTCCTGACTTCTACTGGACTATTCCAAAATGCTCAAATGCTTTGGGCATCAATATCCATCACTCACTGACTATAAAGCCCAGAGCACCAATTCAGGGTTAAAGACAGTAACCTACCTTGTGTGATGTTCAGGGATTGCTGGATCCCTGCTGCATTGCATAAAATGTCTTCCACACGTAGTGGACCGTGTAAGATGCTTCCATGTGATGAGTGCTGTTACCGTACTTTGCACAGGGGGTGAGGAGAAATGTTGACCTCCATCTTCTAAACGGCTCATTGTCAGGGCAGGAGAGCTTGTTTGGTCTCTCCAGATGCTGGCAGAAAAAATAGTAAATGACAAAATGCAAGGGATTTTTTAGTTCTGTTTTTTTTTTTTTTTTAAATGAGGCCAAAATAAATGCTTGCTCCAGAAGCAAAATTGTCTAGGAGCCAAAACCCAACTTCCATTATACTTACAGTGGACAAACTGAAGAGCTTTACCTATTTACACTAAAACAGTATTATTTGAAGCACTAACTAAACTCTGAACGTTTTCTAATCTAGAGGTTCTGTACAACAATTATATTTTCAAATCAGATTTCCAGATTCAATACATGGTTAGGAATTTGATTTTTATTTCTCAATAAGTATCTTGTACATTCTGATTTTTATAGGGACATTATTTATTAACAAACATGATAATGTGCAATAGCCAACACAGCACAATGGCTTGGTTTTTTTTAATGGTCCAAATTATTTTAATACTTGTTTTGTAATAATTAAAAAAAAATCTTAACTGTATAGATAAAGAAAACCTCTAGTATTCTTGCATCCCATACCTGTACTAGGTATCAGGGGGTTTTTTTTGGTTCCATTTAGCACATATAATACAGTATCTAAATCTCCTGTTGTGTGCTCGTTTGCTGGAATATTACACCAGTATGTTTGATCAGATTTTAGGATTAGTCTTAATTTTATCAGGCTAATGGGTAAGCTCTAGCATGACATTCACATTCACGTTTGACACCTAGTGATGGTAAAGGAAAGAAATGAAAAAAAAAAAAAAAGGCTGCTGGAGTCGAGGATTATGAGTCCCTCCGAACTCTCCTTGCACTTCGCTCTAACCCGTCACTTTTACATGTAGTTGCGTGAGGCTCCTTATGTCTCTAAGTATTGAACGTGCTTTGCTCTGACTGAAATCGCATCTGCCTGGGCTTACTGTATTTTTTTTTTTTTTTTTTGCACCTCAGTTAAATAATAATCCTAAATGACTTTGTACTGTTACTAACCAGCTGGTGAGTATGAACACATTGCGTATATAAACAGAACTAGACCAAAATCCGCATTATATGAGGTAGTTAAAATCACTACTGCAGATGTGGCTAATGCTATTAAAGCGTTAGGGGTAGGTCGGGACCCGCTCCAACCGGCAGCTCTACCCGTTCGCCAAAACAGTGCCTTTTCGTAAAAACCAATGGGTGTGAGAGTGCCTTAACAAACTGTGAGAAGGGATGAAAAATACCTGAACGGGCTTTCAGAGGGAATGAGTGACACGTGCTGGTGATGCGTTGCAGCGAGAGCGGCCACTGGTGCTGCTGCTAGTTAACCAAAGCCACGTTACTCTTGCGCGTTTTACTAATTACAAATAAACGCACATTAAGAAGCTCTGCAAATCCCAGGGACACGGAAAAAGAGTGCTTGCTGAATTTCTGAGCAGTGAAATAACCCTGCCGGTGCTGGAGAGACAGGGAAAGGCACAGCCGCTGCTTTCATTTCCCTGGGGTAGCGATGGGCATTAAAGCAGGTGAGAGATGCACGGCCCGGGGAGAATTTCACCCTGAATTGTAACGATTTAGAGAGACGCTCTAATTACTCAAATATGCTCTGCAATGAAGCGTTGTTAAAAGCAAAACCCAAAGCCCCTCATTCTGAACTGGGGGGAAAAAAAAAAATGATAAAAAAAAAATCATTGATTTCTTCTCCCTTTCTCTCAAAATCTACTGGGAAGTGCTTCCACCCTCTCCCAGCCGCCCTCCCGGCTGGCCTGGCCCCAGACATGGCTGTATCCTGCAGGCCCATGAAATGTGAACTGAAACACCACAGACATCTCCTGAAACAGAGAATAAAACCAAGCACTGCAGAAAGGCAACATTAAATAGCATGAGATGAAATACAGTTTCCAGAGATAATCAAACAAAAGGTTTAAAATTGGATTTACCTTAGCGTTTCCCTTATTCAACACTAAATTTTTACAATAAAGATAACAGTATTATACTGTAAATCTGTGGTGAGAAAGTTTATCCACTTAATCTAGAAAGTGTACAGTATATTTGATAATTAACTGTAATAAAATGGTTCTTTTTTGAAGGACTGCTGGCAATAAAAGCTGAGGTCCTGCAGGAATTTCCATGCAAAATCACACTTACTAACAGAATTATTAATATGCCAATTCTTTATTGCATTTAGCATCTCATCATATATGTACCAGACCAAGATATTTATATTTCGAAGCATACTTCCCATCAGTAGCTGCATCTGTGCATATGTGCATGTACATGCATTTGTCCCAGCCAGGGATAACCTTCGCATCCTCCTCCTCCCAATTCCCTTCTCTCCAAACAGGAACTGCATCTTCAACCTCTTTGTTTTCACATATATAGTTATCATAACAATACTAACAAGCCTGTGAAAAACGTCTTCCGCCCTCCCTTGCCATAAAGAGTTTCGAAACTGGCCAGGCTTCGAAACACATCCTAGATACGGGACATTTTTGATGCTCTGGTAAAGATTTTTGCTGCAGGACTGATAGAGAACGACCACTAGAAACCAGACCCTTTAAGACATGGATGGTTGTATTTAACAAGATCAAATAAATTTACCTCCTCCCCTCCAGAAATACTGCTCACAGTGTGGTTTGAGCAACGGCAGGATTAAGACAAATATTAGAAGCGAAGTATCGCAATTCCTACTTCAGATCTTTATAAGTACTCTCCCTTTATTTTTCCTATTCAGTTACCCTCAAATTAATAGCAGCAGAGTATCAGCAGTGATACACACCCTCCTGCTTAGTTAAATCATACATTCAAATCTTCGAGTATTTCTGTGCGCCTGATGCACTACAAGACATCTATTCTTTAGCAGACAAAGAGGCATTATCGCCTCATGGGACAAGTCAAACACCAGCTGATTGAATTATAAAATAAGTCTTTATAACTAACCTGGATATTAAATATACCCCAACACAGATATGTTGCAAAAATAAAACTAGATTCTTTTCCTCTTCCTTTATAAAAAAGAATTTATTTTCTCATGTCAAGATCTCTCCTCCAGTTTCATCTTCAAAAGACCCAAGCAGAACAGGCTCTAGCAAAGCGTTAGTAGCAATTTTGTCTCCCGACCGAAAAGGCACCCCTAGGTACTGAGGGCATCCCTGGGACTCTGGCCAACAGCGCAGCAGGACAGCATCATCAGTCATGCAAAGTAGTCCCCTCCTTGGGAACACTGGCTGTTGGGTTCTTAAGACCGTTTTGACCCTTTCCCCTTACTTTTCACAGGCAGAACTGAAAGAATCTATTTTTGTTTTGTTTTCCTTCTTAACAGCCGCTTTCTCTAGATCTGACAACTCCAAGAACCATGCCTGATCAGATAATGAATGTTTACACGCGACGGCCAGTGTTTCCAAACTGCTCCATTGTTCCCAGCATCCAGCGGTGAAGCCCCGACGCCCGTCAGGACAAGGAAGCAACAGCAGAGGAAGGAAGGGTTTCCTGCCCGACGAGAGCAGTCCTGTTTAAATCAGAGATGGAGTTAACTACACATTCAAACATATGCACACAAAACACTGAAACAGATTGCCTGGCTCTGCCTTGCATAATATTATCAAATCCCAGCGAACCGTGTTTAATAAAACAGGGTGAGATGATGCTGCAGTGCTGGCAACGTGGCAGGCAGAGGAACGATCACAAACTGTCCTTTCTTTATTTGTCCCTCCGGAAAAACACTCGCTCTGTTGCCATCCTGCGATACACCTCCGCCCCGCTGTAATTCTTTGAACGTGCTAAGTCGGTTGAGAGATTTTGGGTGAAATTTTACAGCCCGGCTGTCGTGCAGATTTGGGTCGGTTTGCTTATTAAAGAACAGCCTGTATTTTATTAGTAACTGTGTTTATCCTCAGCTTTAGGGTTTGTATCTCCAGTGGGAGTGGGTTTCTTCTTTGAATTCACGCACCGTGACATCAGTGATGCTTTAGGCACTTGACAACATGGTAGATGTGAAGATCTGCTGCAAAATCTGGGGGATCTCTTTGGTATCCATGGCAATAAAAGACCGACCTGCTGGTAGTGTCCTCTGCAGCCTAAGGAGCAGAATGAGAGACAAGACACAATTACCATTTAAGAACGGATGCTTTTCCTTTTGAATACCTTCCCAATCCACATCGCTGTCGCCACGCAATTAAAGGCTTGGGAAAGCAGCAGTGGGAGGAAACATTGAGAGCAGCTAAGTTACAGAGGTCCTTTCAGCAAGACAATAGAGACTGTTACTAGAGATTTCTATTCACACCCTCTTTCTGACATGCAAAAAGTCCATTTTGATCAAGGTACCAGTGCTCTCATGAAGTATTACCTCAACTGGTTTTCTGAGGGCAGCTAGAGATTTACTCTGGCAATGAATATATTTACTTACTCTAAATAGATTACCGTGAACCCACAGTTCTTTCGGTTCAACACCTCCACTGCTTCTAAATGTGCTCTCTGTATTTCCTCTTTGAGATCGCAGCAGATTACACAGCAAGATATTTTTCTGCCAGTATTAGCCCGGCACGGTTTTATTCACAGCGTAACTCCCCTTAAAAAAGCTAAACAAGATGCACATTACAAACCCCATCTCCCTCATGTCCAGTCAGCAAGCTTGGAATTTATTTTTTTACTGCTTTTTAAAGGAGTTTATGCTCCACACCATTTCTCCAATGCTAAATTAAGTCTCACTTTTAAAGTGAGCTTTAAAAAAGCCGCAACAGAGAATTCCCTTCCCCTTCCCCCACAGCAGTTACAGGAAGGCTCTAATTCTGCACTTCCACGTACATAGAAATGCATTTCAGCGACAGCACTGTGTGCATTTTCCGTACCCAGTGAACAAGGCAATTATAAGATCTCCTCTTACACAGCAGGATATGGTCAATGCTTTTTTTTTTTTTTTTTTTAATTCCTAGCACAAGTAAAAGGACCTTGTGTAATTATAATCTTCCAGAATGGATTCTTTTTTCATGCATAACAGCAATTCTGATGTGCAGACCTGCAAACATGACTAAAGCTGGCTGTGCAGCTCTGTCTTTCAACCCTTTTCTGATGAAAACTATGTATTGAGGGCCAATTAATTCCCTTTGGGCCTTCTCTCATTCTGCTCTAGTTGCAGACTCGAACAGAAGCAGAAAAGGCACTGTTGATATTTGTGGTTATACTGGCTTTTTGCTGCATGTGCTGGTCCTTGGTGGATATGGAACATTCACCTGGGACAGAATTTCCTTATTTTTCCCTGTGCCCAAACAATTTAAAATAAAATTACGTAGTAGCACTAAATATTGGCACATTGGCTCAGACTCTCCAAAGAATTTAGGTCTCTAACACATGGGGAGTATGAGAGTCAAATTTTTGGCAGTTTTGACTGCCAAGACCAAGTGCCAAAGACCCTTAAACTCCAGCTTCTCTTGTTTTAATCCCCTTTCTCAGGCCCACACGCATTCAAACCCCATACTGGGCGATGGCAAAGGCACCATGTCTCCGTCATGATTGTGAGTGATATTACATACAGGGACAGTGCATATCCTCCAGTGGGAGGACAGCTTCAGGTGCTCCCTTTGGATGCTCAGAATGCTCTGAACTAGCTGGCCATGACTGCAAGGACCCACAAACCAGTCTCCTTATTGACACAAGTCAAAGCTGCTACTTGATAGTACACAAAAAACCCCAGAATGACAGAAGAAAACTTGGACATGAGTTGGCAATGTGCGCTCACAGCCCAGAAGGCCAACCGCCTCCTGGGCTGCATGCGAAGCAGTGTGGCCAGCAGGTCAAGGGAGGGGATTCTGCCCCTCTGCTCTGGTGAGACCCCACCTGGAGTCCTGCATCCAGCTCTGGCACCCTCAGCACAAGGAAAGACATGGACCTGTTGGAGAGGGTCCAGAGGAGGGCCACCAAAATGCTCAGAGGGGTGGAACACCTTTCCTATGAGGACAGGCTGAGAGTTGGGGTTGCTGAGCCTGGAGAAGGCCCCAGGGAGACCTTCTTGTGACTTTTCAGTACTTCAAGGGGGCTTTTAAGAAAGATGGGGACAGACTTTTTAGCAGGTCCTGCAGCGATAGGACAAGGGGTAATGGTTTTAAACTAAAGAGGGCAGATTTAGACTAGATAGATAGAAAGAAGAAATTTTTCCACAATGAAGGTAGTGAGACACAGGAACAGGTTGCCAAGAGAAGTTGTGGATGCCTCATCATTGGAAGTGTTCAAGGTCAGGTTGGACAGGCCTCTGAGCAACATGATGTCCTTGCCCATGGCAGTGGTTTGGACTGGGTGATCTTTAAAGGTCCCTTCCCACACAAACCTTTCTATGATTTTACGATCCTATGATCAAAACCTTAGTGCAGAACACCAGCATGGGCAACTATGCCTAACTTCTCTGCAATAAAAGCATAGTTTAGATTTATGATGAATAGAAACAAAGAAAGTTATACTAGGGATAAAACAGGTATACTTACCTATCTGCCTGGTCTCCTAAGGATCCTATAAATATGGCGAAAGCATTGACTTGAGCATTGGTGGTCAAGGCCTGGGCAAACCTTGATGGCCGAATACCATATCGCTCGAGATTTGCATCACTCAAGACAATAACAAAATACTCGTCAGCCTCTTCCTTGGCGATTTCACGAATGGCATGCTCTGTCCCTTCCAAGGTATGGTCTCCACTCATGCAGAACTGAGCATGGGCATGCATGATCTGTGTGCACAGCATAACCAAGTGGAAGTATGTAAGATGGTTTTATTCATAAACGTTCATTTCAGGTGGCCCAGTGGGGAGCAAATATTCAGTGATGCTATATTAGGGGATGCTTCAGAAGTGTGGGCAGTACTCTAGATACGACAGAAGAGGCAGCTTTTTGTACATAATGCATCATATTTTAAGACAGGCATCACTTCTTAAAAACACAGCAGGCCAAACAAACAAAATCCATGCATGCACAGAATTAGACTGGACCTTAAGGAAGGTAAAATTACTTTGATCAGCCACAGTTTGAGTAGCTACATTCCTATCTGTTTAAGGAAGAAAACAGGGCTTAGTTTCCTAATACTGTGACCAGCTCCTGCCTGTTTATAATTTGCACTAGACTTCCAAACCCTAATAGCGCTACAGTTGTTACCAAGTATTTGATTCCTGTCATCAGCAGCAAGGTTTAAAAATGCTGAAATGGTTTGTTTGAGCTTTTATGAAATAAATACACTGTTTGCATTGATGAAGCTGTGCCCTGTGCAGAAGACAAGGAATTTTAGACATTAGAAAATCCAGTCCTTCTAGCCCAAGTAACTGCTGATCCTTTAAAAATACTTTTTGAAGGAAGCTCAAATACACAGTTATAACCTATCAAGCTGCAATATACTAATAAATAAATCCTGCAATATACTCAAATTTTCTGCATCCTATTGAAGTCTTGATGAATACACTCACTTTGCAATTGTGATTTAACGCATTTTGAGTCTAGCATCGACACATTTTCCCACCGCTACTGTGACACATCACTTTTTGAAGGTACCGGGCTAAATCAGTGACCTGGAATCCCTCTACAGTTTGAATTAGTCACTTATGCACCAATAATACCACCACTTTATTTAGGCAGAGCTATCTATATCACTGTATAATGTTTGGATCTTCCTGTATCTTTTGACAGGCAGTCAAAATGACACATTTATGGTACAGCAGTCCAGAAAAGGCATATCTAGCTCCTACTGTTTTGGTACAATTTGTTTTCTGCTAAGTCTCTGAAAGGTCCTGTTTCAGCTTTATGCAAATACACAGATTTCATTTTCTTGTCTTTCTTTTATGTCACTCTCCTTACGTTTTGCATCCTGCAGCCTACCCACAATTTTATCTTTGCAGTCATCAAATGCTTAATTATCCATTATCACTTATCAGTAGAATTTACCTTAAGAATATTGATTTACCTTAAGAATCTCTAATCTTTGCTTATTGTTCTTGGGAACTTTGTCACTCCCAACCAAGACGATGTTGAAGCCATCTCCGGAATGTCCAACAATATCATACTGCAAGAAAGAAACTTCATCAGTCATCTGTTAGTCACGAATGGCCCTTGGATCACAATGACACGAGACAGATCAAAGGCAATTTGCTTTCAACAAGAAAACCCAAATACTCTTCCCTGCTTCTGTTTATGAGCTGCTTAAGAGAACTACTTGCAATTTCTCACCAACATGAAAACATGGAAAAGAATTGCTAAATAATGAAATTAAAGGACAGTTACTTATTTCCATGGTCTGTTTTTCACATCATCCCACCAATTGCAGAGCGGTGATGCATAAGATCAAGACCTTGCCCTCTCACATTGTCCGCTTATTTTCTTAAAGTAGCAATTTTTGTCCTCTTGAGTCTGACAAACAAGAAGCGCATTGTTTGAGAGTAGCTCCCATGTTTGATGGATCGTTTTTGTGACCTCATTCTGCTCTGAAAAAAACTTACTACAAGCCTTCTTTTTTGAAAATCAGCACTCCTTATTTTTCTGTGTAACAGATCAAAGTTATTGCTGAAAGTATGTAGAGAAGTGAATTCCAAGAGTCTCTGTATGTTTTCAAAGGACATGGTGTGCACATCATTCTCCTCTGAAAGATGCTGCAAAAACATGACATGTAGAGCTGTAATAGTTCAAATATCTTGTTGAACAAATAATGTAATATTGAGAAGGCCTTTGTTTTATGTGAGATTTTTATTGTCAGTACATGAAAACCAAGACAAGCTGAGTTATGGCAAGGTCTTGACCTGCCCTTTGTGTTGTGGACGTGATAGTTACCACAGGGAGAATTCATGAGCAGGACAAAAGCGGATTTAAGAGCTGTCTACAACAAATAATAGAGCACGGTACATGGATCCTGAGCCCAGAGAGACCTGAGCTGGCAATTCCTCAACATGAATGTGTCTGTATTTGCCCCTGCCTAGCTGGCATGGACCTGTCTTTAGTCAATTTGTGCAATATTTTGCCTTTCTGTTATCTTTTATTCAAGCACTGCTTTCAGGTTCCTGCCGGGTTCACCATCCCTAATTCCCATATAATCATTTGATAAAAGGTGGGTCTCATCCTCAAAGACTTTCTGAATTTTTGTTCCTATGGAAGACTACTTTATTTGGTGTAAGTCGGGTCCTGGAGACTGGAGAAATGACATTCTTTATTGACAAAGCTCTTTTTAATTGTTTCCACACCACTAATTTGGTTAAAAACATATCAAGAGTAAAAGAAAAGAAAGCTATAGCAGCTGGAACATGTTTAAAGGGGACACCTCCCTCTGCAAAGAGCAAACATGCCACATTATATCACCCAGGGTCAGACCATTTTATGACAGTCTCACATAACACAGACTTCTTTCCCCTAGGAAATCTTTATATAACCTAGTCCCCACGTACTCCCATTTCATTCTGCTCTATTGGCTTTTCCCAGTTCTGTTCTCCTCAGCTCTTCCATTTCCTGTGTTTGCTACTCAGCCTCACACCAAGCTTCCAGTTTGACACACGCTTTCTCTTCAAAACCTATTTCTTATCACCAATAATGCTTCAGACTCTCTCTTTCCTGATGAATATTTAGCTGGTGTTTCTGTCTTCCCCAAACCATTATATTTCCTGGAGAAAAGACGTGGCAAATTGAAAATACACAAATTTAGAGAATAATGTTGAGGTTACATTCAACATACTTCTGAATACAGGAATAAATCCAGAATGTGAACCACACACAAAGAGAGCGCACATGTGTATTGTTTTAAAAACTAGAGATTATTCAAATCAAAGGAGCTACATAAAGCACTGGTTTAATGGAGCAGAAAATACACAGCGCCAATGTGGTTCTTATGCAATGTCAGACGTGTCCACAGATCTTCAGGGTAGGCTCTTAATTACGAAACTCTGCATGTCCTTCGCTAGTTTTGTAGTCGGTATCACTTTTAAATCAACGGCCTAATTATGTAAAGCAAAATGCTGTCATTCCCCTGTGTAACAAGAAGGCTGATTCCTTCGTAATGAGCTCCTTCCCAGCATTTCATGGACCTCTCCCACCAGGTGTCCTGGTATCAGCTCTGCGTTCATGGGAATAGTCCAAACGTTGCTATCTGGCAATATCGTTTCGATTCTCGGCACGCACTAATAACGGACCAACCCTTCATCTCCAAAAGGCTGGGCGTAAACTCAGCGTGACGGTCTGTGTAAAGGGAACTGCTGTAGCTCCTAGGTGAAATGCCAGAGGTTGACCCTACGCTTGGGTCCCCTCCACATTCTTGCATGAGGTGGGAACATACAACCCAGGTCCAGGCAAGGCGAGGCCGAAATGATCTGAGCAAACTATCACAGGCACATAAAGCCATTCACCTGGGAACATCACGTCCTGCCTGCTCCCTCCTCGGCTCTCTGGTTATTATTCTCCGTGTGCGCCCATGCCTGTGCCGGAGCACGCATGCTTACATTTAAAAGATGTTACCTGTTTCCTTGTTTCTTTGACGACGGTTTACTACGCTATTTGTGATTTAAAAAGTATGGGGAGGCAGCAGGGAAGAAATACCTGCTTGCTCTGTCCTGGCTGCTGCATTCTGGGTCAAGTGCGGGGCCTCCTCAAAAGCAGGGTGAGATCTCGCCGTGCCTGAGCACCCGTGCTGCGGAAGAGAAGTGCTGTGGTCACCAGCCCTCGCATGCTGGTCCTCAGGGTCCTCTGATCCTCTGGATGTCAAGTCAAGGACCAGGAGTGGCCAAAAGCTAATGACCATGAGGCTGCTTTTGGGCAGTTTAGCTCCCCAAACTGCAAGGTCAGATGAGTACCTGTGCCCCAGCAAAGCACTGACTTGGCTTGACTTAAGTCAGCATAAGACTGCAGCCTTGGAGACCCTCCCTGGGTGGGAGGGATGGGAGCAGGCTCACAGCCAAGCTTCAGAGGTGACAGAAGGGAGATGTTTCCCCATGGGAACGTGTGGAGTCTACCACAACTTAGCAAAACAGAGTTTGGGACAGAGTAAAACTGGAGCAAAGAACCCCACTCTGCAAGGGCAAAGAAGGAGGATTTAAATCTTTCATCCAGGTTTTCTTTCAGTAAATTATTACCTTCTTCTAATTTCTGTTCTAGTAAAAGGAACTTGTAGTGGTTTGATGTTATCTTGGTGTGCTCATTTTAAAGAAAAGGTGCAGACAGCTCCACAGCCCCAGCCAACGGGGAACCCCAACAAATGCAGGCACGTGTACACTTTGTCAAAACCAGTTTCCTGGTTTGCATGAGTGCTGGAGCTAAAGACAAGCACAGAAAAAGGGCCTCTGAGAAGCAGGGATCCGATGCATTTTTCTCATGAATTCCCTAGCAGAATTTCTGTGGATGGAGCTAAAAGTGAGAGAAGAGCTGTGATACATTCTTACTTGGAACCGACTTTTGTTTTCTTTTACAAAACAGATTGCAAGCATAGGCTCTCAAGACAAATCCAGCAGCAAAATACTTGTTTGCCACAGTGCAGGCTTAATTGAATTAATTTATTATTGTGGTAGACAGCGGCTCATTCTCCAATAGCCTCAAGTACATGGAGACAAGGACTGCTCTATTCAGAGCTGCGAGTACCCAATACGTGAACACGTCTCTCGAAATAGCATCATTTTGTTGGTTTCTTTCCTTACAGGTTAAAACAATCCCTATCCCACTGTCACATTTTGCACTGAATGGATGGTGGCTGCTACCTAAAATGGGTAAAATGGAAGACTTTGTCTTCTG